GGTATCAGTCTAATGGGCTTTTTAGTTGTTCTGGGGGTCATGCCAACTAAAATCTTGGAATGGTTCATGATGTATTTGGAAGATTTCATCCACTTCTGAGAGTTTTTTCACATTTCTATAAGAAAGACATTTCCTTAGGCAGTCCTGGGCTGTCCTCTCTTCTCCAACCCGAGGTTCAGGTGGCTTTCCTCTGGGGCACCCACCATTTCCCAGACAAACTCAGACAACCATTATCAAGGTTACCAGACCTCACTTCTGTGATGTTGCTCTAGTTATGACAAATCGCCAGTGGCTAGCTTCTCCTGCCTCTGATGCTCTGCCCCAGGGCACAGGCACCAGGCCTCTGGGGGACCGGAAGTCTGCCTGAGCTATGGGGTCAGGAGAGAAGTTCCTGGTGGGGTTTCTGTCCATGAGCTTGCCATGGTTTTGTGACTTTCCAGACAAGTCAGTGGGGCTTCCAAGGCACAGAGGTGGAAAGTGGAGAAAGAAAGTGGGAGGAGTTGTGTTCTTTTCCTCTAGTTTCTGGTGTGCAAAATGGTTTCTTGCCAAAGCTCTGCTGCTGCGGTTTACTTATCAGGGGAGGGTGCTGAGCTGTGAGAGGTGGTGGAAGTGGCTTCTGGGATGGTCATGAAGGGAATTGTCCTCTGGAGGTGAGCACGGTGAGGTCTGTAGAAACGTTTCTGGCAGGGCCGCTGGAGGCAGAGAGCTGCCTTGGAAGTGCTGACTGGCAGGGAGAGGCTTAGAGGAGAGATGGGTCTGCCCTGGGAGTTTCCTGGGGACTGAGTCCTGACCTGGGCGGTGCTCTGGGGCTCTAAGTAAATGTCACAGAGAGGAAGGGCTGGACGAGGGCTCTTCCACAGCTCTCTCCTCCCCACTCCGTCGTCAAGCATTCTTTCCACCTGCCAATGCAAACATTTAACAATGAGACTGTTTTCCCCCAGAACATACAAGCAAGAGAGAATTCCTATGGGTAGGTGGTAGCAAATATAGGAAAAATGACTGAGTAATTTCAAAGCTGTATTATTGATTAAAATTTTGTTGATAAATGACTTACACTGAATGTCAGGCAAATGAGTTTCTGGCAAGAAATAGCTATAAAAGAATGATCAAATTTACCAAAGCATTTCTGCGTATCAGTCGCTTTGATATGTGTTCAGTGATGATTCAAGATTACGGAAACTGCAAAAATTCAGGTGGGAAATGTCACACTGCGAGAAGTAATTACCATTTTGATGAACAGAGAAGAACTTCCCAGCTGATTCTTTACAGTTACCCTGACGTGTTAAAAGCACGGTTTTAAACTATGTGATCTTCAGAAATCTATTATTTGAATATAATATTGATGTATCAGTCATAAGCTAATCTTTAGTATAAAGTCAAGCTATTTTAGGCAACATACTGTATTGTATAATTTTAGAGTAACGAAACCAGAAGGAGACCCTCATCACATTGAAAATGAGAACATTGGTCTATAGTACAGCCAGGGCTGGTATGGGTAAAGGTTTCAGAAACTCTGGCTGCCCATAGACACTTGGGTTGCTCCCGTCTCTTGGCCATTGTGAATAGCGCAGCTTTGATATGGGTGTTTCGTTAGATATTTTTAAGAAAGTAAACCTTTTTTTTTTTCTTTCTTCTAGTACTAGTATGCTTTGATTTTTTTACATTTAGATCTTTGCTCCCATCTGAGTGTTATTTCGGATTATGATGAGAAGTGTGGACCCAACTTTATCTTTTTTCCCCCAATGATTCTCTATTTTATTTCAGTGTCATCTATTAAAAGTTAATTCTTTCTCAGTGATTTGAGAATTGTTTACCATATGTTAAATTGGGCCTTGTATGGAACTTCAATTCTCCCTTTGATCTGCCTGTCCTACCCACGCCAATGGCACACAGTTTTGGGGTACATGTTAATACCTAAAGGAGAGTCTCTGGTAGGGTGGAGAATAAGGAGCCTTACTCTGGGGAGAGGTAGGTCCTTCCATCACTCCCCAGAGCGGGTGGAGGGGAGATGGAGGAATGCATGGCTTGGAGGAGAGAAGCTCACCCTGACTCCCAGGATGGGGGAGACGGGGATTCACTTGTCCTGGGGAAGAGACCCCATTTTCCTGGAGGAGCTCACACTCAGTCCTGGCACACATTTGCTGTGTATTGAATCACGTTTAATGAACAAATGAGAAATCGGTTATTTCCACTCTAGATGTGGATGTTTGTTAAGGCTCTGGGAACCGTCCTGGATCTGGGCTCTGCCCCAGAGAAGGGGAGTCAGTGACAGGGGGTGTCACTCCAGCCCCCACTCTTTGAAGCGTCTCATCGTTCTCCGTATCCAGGGCAGGAAGCTGGAAATCCTGGTGAAGACTGCTGGAGGAGTCCCAATCCTGTTTCCGTAGGAGACGATGCCCTGGGCCACGTTGTTACACACAAGGGGGCCACCGGAGTCCCCCTGTGGGCAACCAGAGGAAGGGACACTAAGCCGGGCCTCCATTCTCCAGGCCTCCCCGCTCCTGCGGCCCTAAGGCCCGCCCTCAGAGAAGACAGGCGTGGGTGGGCTCCTTCCACTGCTGGCTGTGTGTGAGATGGGAGGGTGAGGGGGAGCAGAAGTCGAGCTTCTGGATTTTTCCATCACTGGGCTTCAGCCCTGGCTATGGTTATTCTCCAGAACAACCCAGGTCAAGGGTCCTTCACCGGCCCCAGGAAAACGCTGCACATGTACGTCCTGTGTCTGGTGCACCTGCTATTCCACCAGAGACCGGATTGATGGGGAAAAGTCCCCCACCTCACTCTGGTCTGGGCCCTAGACTGAGGCCATGGGGATGTAGTCTGTCCCCACTGCCCAGTCTGCCCATGTCCCTTTGTCTCGGACAGTGTCGGCAGATGCCCGTGGTCTTACCAGGAAGGCGGATTTCCTCTCTCTTGGGTCGCCCACACAAATCTGTGTTCGGCCAGTGTAGAACATGAAGCGTCTACTGCACTCCCCATTCCTCTGCACTGTCAGCCGCACGTCTTGGAGCGTGTCTGCTCTCCTGTTCAGGCCGAGAAGGCCCCAGCCGGCCACGGTGCACAGGGTCCCAGGACTCAGCCTCTTCTGGGTCTGCGGCAGAGCCACCGGCCTCACAGCTCGATTACGTCTGACTCTGCTTCTCAGCTGGCAGGAAGCATGCAGGCACTCAGGGACTGTCTATGCCGTGCTCACCCATGCCCACCACCACCCTGGGGTTCTCTTGGCTTCCCCCTCCCTGGTCCCCCAAGCTGCGAGGGAGCCGCCCGGGTGAAGAACCAGAGGGTTGGTACCTGCAGTAACATGATGTCATTCTGGTTGTTCCGCTGATTGTACCTGGGGTGGGGGATGGCTCTGAGCACCGGTATGCGCTGCTGAGTCCTTTCCAACCTCCTGATGTTGTGGGCCCCCAGGATGACATTTATATGTCTGCAAAGGAAAAGGAGCCTAGAGGTAGGTCTGAGCTGCAGGAACTGCACTCCCCGATGCAGGTCACGTGACAGCCCAGGGTGACGAGACATCAGCCAAGGGAAGGTAGGGACAGGAGGGCTCTGGCACTGGGCTCTACGCCCTTGGTCTCCACAGCCTTGAGCTGTGGGTGGTAGGAAACTCAGTGACCTTATATTTTGCCTCCCCTTCAATGAAAAAGGAGCTTGAATTCAGATTTTGAGCCCCAATGCGTGCCTTCCATCTCCCCATCTTGCTCTTTCTGATCAGGTCCTCCTTTCTCCCCATTTACAATGGCCTGCTCCCTGCCCCCCAAGCCCTACCTGCTCTTTTTTCACCCCTTTATTGCTAGAACCCTGCTTTCAATGTCTCCTCTCATGAAATCTTCTCGACCTGCTTTGCTGTTGCCCAGAAGCCCCTTAGTGCCTCACCTTCCCAAGCAGTGAGCTGCTGTCGCCACAAAGTCTTCTCGCACCAGAAACCCCCCACAAGTGTGCAGACGTGGAGTTCGGATCTGAACATATGCCATGTAAGGGTGGGAATGGGGCCTGGCCTCTTGGCCTCCGATGATCTGCCCTGGAAGGAAGCATTAGGCACTTATCTCTGCACTGACAGGTGTGTGGGCTTCGGCTTGGTGGCTCCAGAAAGCTTAGAAGATGGCGAGGCGGGAGAGGTGCTGCAGGGGCCGGAGAAGCTGGTGGTTCATGAGAACTGGGTCTGCAGGGCACCAGCCTTGGGGGAGGCTCCAGGATTCTGCAGGAAACGCCGCTGGCTCCCCATCCCAGCCTCAGCTCCCTCCCACCTCCCCAAGAAGGCAAGGCCAGCTGCAGCCTCCCATAATGAGGAAGGTTCCTCTGCTGTGGGGATGGCAGATCCGGAGCCCTCTGAGCAGCCTCTCCCTGAAGTCCCGTGGTACTTTCTTCCTCAGGGAGCCTCCCAGATCCCTGTGAGTCCAGCTCACAGCCAGCTCATGAATTTAAGGCTCTAAGGATGAGCTGGCGGGCCTGCTATTGCTGTATCTTTATCTCCGAGGCTCTGCCACAGGAGCTGCAGAATGAGTTCAGAGAGCATGTTTATATAGCAAGTAGTACGTGCCAGGACGACTCCAAGAATTTTATGTACATTAAGTCATTTAACTCTTATGTCAACTCTCTGAGGTAGGCCTGATATAATTCCTGTTTTATACATGATGGAGCTGAGGAACTCTGAACTCATACAAGCTGCCCAATGATATAGGGTTAAGAAGTGCCTGAGTGGTCTGGCTCCAGAGTCTATGGGATGGGGTCGGCCTCTGAGGACGGGGACGGTCACTCACCTGTCCTAGCCCTGGGGGGCAGGAGAAGGACCACCAGGAGCAGGAGTGGCTGCATCGTCCTGGGAAGTCTGCCCAGTCAGTTGCTGCTGGTCTTCCTCCTGCCAGACTTTGAGCCCCTGAAAGAGGAAGGAAGGGTGAGGGTGGGGGCTTGAGAATTCGCATTCCCATTCTCCTGCTGCTGTGACAGGTTTCATCATCCAAGGCTGCCCAAGAGGCTTGCCCACTAACTGCCAGTGATCTGGGGGAAGACAGTAACCCAAGGCTTTAGCGCAATATCCCGCACAGCTGCTGCGTCGTTGCTGGCCGTGGAAATGGGAACCCAGGGCAACAGGGATGGGGACTGGGTCACTGTGTCCCAGAGCCTCAAACCCACCTAATTCAATAATCCCTACAAGCATCAAAGCTGGGAGCTATTTCCTCCTCCTTCTCCCTCATTGACTGGAGCCTGCATGTCTTCACCCTTTGGTCTTAGCCCCCTGTTGAGACCCTTGCTGCTCCCACTTCTTTCTAGAAGTTGTCATGCAGATTGAGTAGCTCTCTCTCCTGAGTGTGTGGAGGGCACTGCCAGAGAAAGGAAAGGGAAGAATGAGGCTCTGCCACTGACCATTATGCTCTCAGGTCACTTGAGCCCCAGCAAACTCTCAGTGAAATCCTGACACTGTGGATGACTTCTGTTTTCCTGCTCCCTACTCAAGGCAAAGGCCTTTATGTCCCAGAAGGTTCTCTGCATGCAGAAAAGGCCTAGTGACTTGATTTTGTTGCAAGCCATCAGACCCCGGTGGAAAAACATCTCAAATCCTATTCATCCATGGTATAAGAGTCCCATCAACCTAATCCCATCTCTGCCCCGGGGGTCATAGCTCCTAAGAAGGAGGTACGTCACTGCTGTGCTCCCTGTAACACATGAAGAAGTGGACCCAGGCATTCATCACTGAGAGAAAGGCACGGCAGAGTCCTGCAGAGTAACACAGGGG